AATCACTTTACCATAACAAAAAAGTAAAAACATGTCATGGCGGAAGATATTCAGGTGGCATTTCACACATTTATCTATTAAAATCGAGATTAAAATAATAAACTTGCGTAACATGTTATACACGAGATAGAAAGTTTCAGAATCGATTAATACGCAATACGCTACGCAGTCAACTTATTCCTATGCGCGGATGAGCGTCTTCAAGACTCTTCCTTCGGCCAGGGTCACGACGCCGCCGAAGAGGAATCGGCCTATGTTTGGCTAAACAGGCTGGACACGGTGGAGTACGATATTGGCGAGTCTGAATATTTATAAAAATTTGCAAAGTAAAATATGTTGGAAAAATAATTAATCCATACATATATAAAAGCTCAAAGGGTTTTTTTGTTGCATCCATCCCGCCGAAACCGCTTTACCAATCTTGATGATCCTTTTTTTTTTAAATGAAAGGTATATATGTGTAGATTTGTTATGAAGTATTTTTATAGTGCTTAATGGCTATTTCTTTGTGTAAAACGACTAAATACTAAAACATACCTGAAAAACACATACACACAATACCTCCAGAAAGAAATTATTTGTCATTGTCAGTGGTGTGTCAGTTAGATTATATATTACGTTTTTAGATATTTTAGAGTGAGTTCATGCCGCCAGCTTCAGGTACATAAATATTAGCACAAAAGTTCCTTTAAACGACATTAGTGAATTAGCTACACAAAGCGATTTTAGGAAATTCATCCTCTTAGAGAGTAAAATTATCTCGGAACAGTTTGTTGTATGAAAATTCCTTACTATTTGGTCTAGAAGAATGAAATCCTACAAAAAGAATTAGAAGAAATTTTTGAAATTCATCAACTAAATGGGTAAAGTTAGTAAAAATTTATATAAAACTTGGTGACCTCTGGATTATACACATAAGAATTGGCACAAAGGTAAAGCGAATTTATGAAATTTATACCCTTAGGGAGTAGAATAGGGAATGAAAGTTTGCTGTACGAAAATGCAATACTATAACATTATAAACCAGACAGTAAAAAATTTTATACAAGGGTTTATTTAGTGACATCATAACGAAATATATCTTCCTCAATTATCCTTCAAAGAGTAAGAAATAACCTATAAAGAGAGTATTAGTGCTCTTAATAAATAAAAAAAAAGATGAAAAATAAAAAACATCTATGCTCACTAGCTCTCTATAAAGAAGTAAAAAATCATTTAAATCAATGCATGAACGATTCGAGGTTAACGCGAACGTAGTCATGAGAAAAAAGCTAGTAATTTATTAAATTATTTTATTTAACTCATTATTTTTCATTGAAAAGGAATTTTTGTAATTCGCCACTATATTAGTTAAAAACTAAGAAACTCATATCAAATTTAAGTTTTGCGATTTTGACTTATACTTTTTACAAAATCTGAACACATTTTAAAAGAAAAAAACCAAAAGTTTTTGATAATATTTGTTTAGATTGACTACAAGTTGTATAACATAAATTTCTACGACCGGTCTACCTAGTGGTCTGCAGCATCGCCTTGTGGTGCAAACGTGGGCCTGTTAATCTGTGACGTGACGCACAATAGCCAAGAAAAACAGAAGCGTGGCTAAGAATTTAGTAATTTAAAAAAAGTCTTTTAGATACAGTAGTAGGTATTAAAAAGTTTTGTGTTTAAATGGGGTTTGCCTTTAACAGTTAAAAAATTATATCGTAAAGTGTAACTTTCCGTAAGAATTCTTTATCTGTCATTGATCATGATCTGTCATCATGTTAACCTGATGTTTTGTATGTTATTTTGTCTCTTTTCGAGGTGATTTTGCTTGCTTGTTTTACGGATAGGTGCGATCACGTAATTATTATTGATAATGTTTTATTTAATGTTAACACTACTACTTTTTCAGTGAATCTTTAAATCTGTTGTTATTTGTTAAGTTCGTTATATAAACATATGTATGTAATACACTCATATTAACACTAATCATATTTTTACGTTTTTATTCATCATTTGCAATGCCTCCCCGGTTGCATCTTTGTAAAGGACTGTGAGTTTTTTCTTTTCCTGATTCCCTGTCGTTGTCGTTGTGGACTCTGCTGCTGTCTTCTGAGGTTGTTCTCCCTCGATCCGTGCTTAAGGGTAGATACCACAAGTGGAAAACTAGTCCCGATATTCACTCGATTTTCTAGGATCTCCACCGCACAGATCCTACCGACTGCGCCAATTACGTTTCAAGAAAACAGGAGAGTCTTTTTAGAAAATAAATTTTAATTTTATTTAATAAAGCACAAGATGTTTACAGTAAGAGCAAAGACAATGGAATGATTTTTAACAATGAGAAAAGAGTCTACTCGGCTTGGTGAAGGCTTCGTGGAAACTGCAAGGACCGCATCTTCCCATCAGGATGGCCATATCTTTTTAGTAGGTGTGCAGAAATCCGTGTGCGTAACTTGCTATAGGTAACTCCTAGAAGAACAATTTTGTTCTAGTAATTATAGATACTTTTGATGGTGTGTGGACGCTAAATGTGGGAGCTCATCTCCAATTTATACTCGAACATCTCCTTACAATAGAGTAAATTTGAAGCTCAAATATGGATAATAATACATCCTTCCAGTTCCTCAGACCATCAAATAGTACATAGAGTAACTCAAAGATAGAACCCGAAAATGCTGAGGGATTACTGAATAATTTAATTATTGGAATATTTTTGTAATTCAAAAAAAACGTTACGCTGATTTTCTCCAAAAAATGTATTTGAAAAAAAATCAGTTCGACTACTTAACAATGAAGAAAAGAATGATACCGTCCCACAATGAACACACTGGCCAGATATGAACACTACGAAATGGGGTACTCATCAATCACTTCAGAGTCACCATTAATTTGATCTTGACACCATGATGTCTATTTTTTCTAGAAGTCGGCTTTTTTTAAATTTTTTTTTAATACTTTTAGTCTTAGCGGTACGTAAAAGGTGAACTAGTGTTCATACCAAATAAACTTTTAGTCACGCGATTAAGCTTGACTGGCACAGCGTTGCCCACTTTTATATATTTTTTTTAGTCAAAATATTTTCTTCTTCTTGCGGTGCCGTGCCTGTCTTCAGGCGTTGGCGATCTCCATGACTATTCGTGGAAGAGTTCTCTATCTTCTGCTGCATGAAACAGCCTCTCCACCCCCAGACCGGTCCAGTTCCGTATATTTCTGAGCCATGACAGTTTCTTTCGACCTACCCATCTTCTACCTTCGACTTTTCCTTGAATAATCAAACGAGGAATATAATATTTGGTGCCACGCATTATGTGTCCGAAGTAGCTCACCTTTCTGGCCTTGATGGTGGTTAACAGTTCCCGATCTTTGTTCAGCTGTCCAAGAACTTCCTCGTTGCTTATATGTTCGGTCCAAGAAATTTTAAAAATTCTCCGGTAGCACCAATTTTCAAAGGCTTCTATTTTATTTATTTTCTCGACTTTTAACGTCCATGTCTCGCATCCGTAAAGAAGAGTGGACCATATGTAACAACGTAGTGTTTGCAATCGGGTTTGCAGTGACAAGTTTCTATTAGTGAGCGTGGTATTCCATTTTTTGAATGTTCTACGTGCCATTTCAATTCTTGCCTTTACTTCTTCGTCACATGTATTTTTACTATTTAGCCAGCTTCCTAAATATCTAAAATGTTGTACTTGTTCAATATTGTGTCCGCTGATTTTTATCGGGATTGGATTAATTTCTATTTTATCCACAAACATCCATTTCGTCTTCTTGAAATTTATATTTCAAGACCCCATTTGCAACTAGCTTCATGAACCCTATCTAGCAACGTTTGTAAGTCTTCCATGGTTTCTGCGACAATGGCGGTGTCGTCTGCGTACCTACTTTACGTTATTTATGATCTCGCCTCCAATTTTAACGCCTTCTATTCTGCCGGATAAAGCCTCGTTAAAAATGTTCTCCGAATACAAATTGAATAATAACGGTGACAAAACACACCCCTGTCTTACTCCTCGTTTTATTGGGATGTCATTTGTAGTTCCTTCATGGACCCTAATAGCAGCAGTTTGATCGTAGTATAAGTTTACTAAAAGGCGCATGTCATAGTTGTCTACGTTATACAATTTCAGATGCCGAAATAGCTCTCTATGTCTGACTCGATCAAATGCTTTTTCAAAGCCGATGAAGCACACATAGATGTTCTTGCGAAATTCGCTGCACTTTTGCAACAATAGCCTCATGCAAAACAGGGCTTCACGTGTGCCTAGTCCGCTACGAAATCCAAACTGCTCTTTTTCGATGCTCTGTTCACATTTAGCATATATTCGGTTGAGGATTATTTTTAAAAGTATTTTTAACATGTGGCTCATCAGACTAATAAGCCTAAAGTCATCACATTTACTCGCTTTGGTATTCTTGGGTAAAGCTATAAATATCGATCTCTGCCAGTCGCCAGGTAATTTTCCACTTTGATAAACCTGGTTAAAGAATGCTGTCAGGACAGATATACTGTCGTTGTCGAGAAGTTTTATTAGTTCCGCGGGTATTTCGTCTGGTCCGGGAGTCTTGTTTGCCTGTTGTATAGCTTTTTCCACTTCCGATTTGAGTATACTTGGACCACATTCTGCTTCATAATCTGCCAATAGTATCTCTGGAGCTTCCCGAGTGTCGTCATCAAATAGTTGTTGTATGTGTCGTTGCCACTCATCACATCGGTCTTTATTTGTCATTAATACTTGTCCACTAGCGTTGTGCAGTACTGATACCAATTTTCTCTTCTGTAATTTTATTCTTCAGCTTTTTATGTAAGTTAAAATCATCGTGTAAGCTTTGAAGGTGTTCTATTACTTTACAGGATTCCTGAAGGCATATTTATTTTGCTTCTTTAATCTTTTTGCAAATTACCCGATGCATTCGTAAGTGCTGGACATGATCGTTGTTCTTTTGTATTTTCTTCTTTCTTTCATGAGGCCTAATATTTCTTGCGTCATCCACTTCTTTCGTGCTTTTGTTTTTTAGGGTTTAATCATTTCATCTATATTTTCATTTCTTAGTGAAACTTTGATATCCTGCCAATTGTCTTCAACGCTTTTGTTTTCAGATGGTGTTACAATTGTGTGCATGTTGCCATTCACTTCCTGTGATAGGTTCTTTAGAATTTCAGGTTCCTTTAATATCTCCTGTTGCATTCGTGATCTTTTAATCGGTTTGCTATTCTTTTTAAGCCTTATGTTTAGTTTTGAGCAAAGTAAGTTATGGTCTGAGTGCACATCTGCTCCAGGATAAGTTTTTGTTGGTTTAATACAGTTGCGGAAACGCCGGTTGATTAATATATAATCGATCTGATTTCTTACAACGTTTTCCTGCGTGTGTTGGGGTAATGTCCATGTATACAATCTTCGGTATGGTAATTTATACCAGGTATTCGTAATGAGATATATTCTTCTTCCTGACAAAACTGTACGTCGATTTCCTCTGGCATTGCATACGCCTAAGCCGTATTTTCCGCTGACGTTTTCTCTTGTTTCCCTGCCTACCTTTGCATTCCAATCTCCAATGATTAAAGTGATTTCGTCCTTTTTTGTCGCTTTTAATTTTGATGTGCTGATGTGCTGATAAAACATTTCAAGTTCTCCATCGTCATGATCAGTGGTGGGGGCATATACCTGTACAATGTTAATATTTACAGGTTTTATCGCTAGCTGTAGTAGCATTACTCTGTCCGAAAACGGCACAAAATTTCGTACAGAGTTACCTAAAGATTTGCTTATTATTATAGCCACCCCATTTTTATGAGATCTATCTCGAGTTCCCGATGTGTATACTGCATAGTCTTCCGAATGAAAAGTGGTTGCATCAGACCATCTGGTTTCGCACACTCCTGTTATTTGTATGTCCATTCTCTGAATTTCTAACAATAAGTTCCTCAATTTTCCTGCTTCATAAAGTGTTCGAACATTCCATGTTCCAATTTTGAAAGATTTTTTATTTTTCAGCCCGGGGATTCTTAGCACCCCTGTCCCATCTAAGGGACGTCGGGAACTTGGGGCCGTTTTCATTTCTGTGTTTGTCATGATGATTGTTCTTGGGAAAGTTTAGTGCAGTGGTTTCCCCTTGCCTTCTACACCGCTATACATTTGCCGCTTCTGTGACTGTCACCACGCCGAATGTTTTCTGAATACAACCATTCCAATCCTTGTGATCTCTGTTTGCATTCAGTACTATGACAACTAGCTGCCATTGTCTAGGTCAGTTTTTTGGTTCGCCCCGTATATTTAATAAATATAAAAAAAATTCTAAAATATTTTAGAAAACAAAAATAAATTAATTATAAATATATAAACAGTAATTATTTACATCAACAAAGCTCTACTTCTTAACAGCACTTGAGGGACATAAAGGACCTTTATTACCGCCATCCCGTTCAAAATATTCTAATAAAATTGCAATGAGTTTTTTACTGCTATTAAGCTATCTCGTGGCCGGCCGTAGCTCCAGCGTTAGTGTGTCGATCTGCGGAGCAGAAGGTACTGGGTTCGATCCCCAGCCAGTACGGTCGCTTTATTTATTTAAATAAAAATATTTATTTATCTAAATATAGCGACCAACGAGCAGCCATCTTAAGGAAGGCAATGGCAAACCACCTTGAGTATATTTGCCTTGTACAGCCTCTCAAAATAAGCTCCGTAACGTTGGAACCCACTTTCAAGTAAAGTTTTCGATTTTTGGCTTATTATTAGCTACAAACGATGCAATTGATTGTACTAAATTCAATTTTTTAGTAGTACTAATAATTAGCCAGAAAAAGTAAACAATTGAGCGCAATGTAATAAAGAGAGAAAATATTGTTTTAACAAAGGTCTAAAAACCTTCAAAATCGTTTGTAGTTTCAGTCAGTCAATTAACATAGTTTGACATAATGTCTTTAGTTGTATACAAACTACAAACAATGCAATTGATTGTTGTAAATTTAATTTTTTTGTAGTACTAATAATTAGCCAGAAAAAGTAAACAGTTGACCGCAATGATTTCTTTCGCATTCCGGCATGCACGATTGATAACTTGTTTCAATGTGGTCTGTGGTCTCAACTAAATATTTAGTTAGGCAATTTAGTTTTATATTATAGTTTTTCAAATCTCACTTTGACCACCATTCAATTTTTCAGTTTGTTTTTCTGGTCGCTGGCGCTGGGATACGGCCAACAATAAAACAAAATATTTTTATGGTGGTTGTATCTCCAGGTAACCAGTAGAAAGTATATTCTTACATGGTTCTTACTAGTTGCCTTATCCGTAAAACCAGCCTAAAAAGTAAGTGGTGATAAAAGTGAGATTGGAAAAACTATACTTATATTATAACGAATTATTTTTTGTTTTTTTTTTCTTTCAGGAACTAGTTTACATACAAGTTAACAATATAGTTAACAGTACTAGTCAAATTCACCTGAATCATTGGAACTCAGTACAACAGGACTTGTTAGTGTGTTCTTTAAGTCAAGTAAAGTTGTGACTAATATCGAATATTTATTTGTATTTATTTTTATTACATTTAGCTTTTAATACGACGCGACGTTATGTTAATTTTAGTTTGTTTCAGTTCTCTTAAGATTGAAGAGAGTAAACTATTTTTTGATTAACCATAGTAGTTTTATTTTTCAGCTTCCAGATCGGTTTAAATCGATTAAAAGAAATCTTAATTTATATTTTCAAAAAAAAAACGATGTAAATCAAAGAATATTGGTTATTTAAAGCAATAAAATTAATTAATTAGTTTAACCATATAGACTTATTAACTTAATATAAATAATTATAAGGGAAAAATGACATAACTACATTAAATACATATACTCTTAATTCAATTATATGGCATTTAATTAACATGTTTCAGATATTTGAACTAAGCACATACTTCCTTGTCTTCACATTGTAACTGGATAAAATAAGTTGCTGTTAAATGTATATATAATTAGCTGAAGTAAATTAGCCTTTTAAAGGCAACCATGTTATAAGCTTCAATCAAATACACATGTATTTGGAGAATATCAAGAAGATATTTATTTTAATGAACGCAAAATTTAGTTGATTTAAACAGTTACTTTTTTATGTGTAGTAGCAAGAAAATTCAATAAAAAATTCTTGGAATTGCTGATTTATCGTAAAATTTGAAAATTAACATAGTTTGACATAATGTCTTTAGTTGTACACAAACTACAAACGATGCAATTGATTGTAGTAAATTCAATTTTTTTGTAGTACTAATAATTAGCCAGAAAAAGTAAACAATTGAGCGCAATGTAATAAAGAGAAAAATACTGTTTTAACAAAGGTCTAAAAACCTTCAAAATCGTTTGTAGTATTATGTAGTAGCACAAAAATTCCATAAAAGATTCTTGGAATTAGTGAATTATAGTAAAATTTGAAAATTAACATAGTGTTACGGATTCCGGCAGTCCACTATTTAAACTCACGATAAAATATTTAACGAATTTATTTGTCTCACTCTGTACACACAACTTATACTATTTACAACACAATTTATGCAACTACTATTACTCTAACGGTATTTCGCGGTATTTGCGACGATTGCGCTCTAGTTGCAAAAACTGTACAGCAATTACAAGAAATGTTGAACACATATACCTGGGCATACGAGGCTTTGGGCCTTAAGCTAAACATCGACAAACTTAAAATCATGTGCACTCCCCCGGAAGATCACAACAATGCTATAAAAATCGGAGAAGCACTACTGGAATATGTAGCGGAATTCAATTATCTCGGCAGTCTGATTTCGGAA